GGGGGGGGGGGAAATGTCTGAAGTATGAGAACTGGGCTTTTATTAAAACCATTTATTATGTTATATTGAGGACTGCAGGAGCCAATTTGTTCCCCCTATCCAAGTATTTCTCGAGTAATTAATTACTTTTATAGATGTTTAACGAGATTGGGAATAATCATGTAACATTTACTTGGCCAGAATCAAATCTGGGATGTTACTTTTTAAAGTCAGTGGTTACTATGGCACCTCCCAAATTCCTCTTAAATCATGAATCATTTCCTCTGTCTAAATCCTCCTTGTTTTCTTTGCCCGATCGTCTTTTCTGACATCAGACATTGAGGCTACATCATCAGATTAGGAGGATTAGAAACATTAAAATCTCCCTTGTGAGGATCCATTTAAGGAAAAGTCTTGTTACCTTGCAATTAAAGGCATGTTGTGATGCAGCACTGCGAACATCCCAACAACCCTGCAGACACCAACTCTGTCAGCGTCCATCACGTCTGCCTGAAGTGCGGTTTAAATAACCCGAGGTAATGCTGCATTTAAAAATATTTAATAATATTTCTCCCGCTGCACAGGGTAATTCTAAGACGGCTCCATTACTTAGCAGACATGTGGAGATAGGAAGCAATCACATTAGGCCTTTCAGAAAGCAAGGGATGGCAGAGCAGGATGCTAAAGAGATTAGAAAATGGAAAATGGCTAATAAAGTTCTCTCCTCTCTAACTCTGAATGTTTATATGAGCTGACAGTCTCCTGCACTCCATGGGTTAGAGACGGAGAGATTTGGGAATAATGTTATTACAGTCGCTGTTGCTCCGTTTCTATCTGCGCTTCGCTTCACAAATAAACACCGTTTGCATTGATTCTCATGTATCTCCTGCGAACATTATCTTTGCATAAACAAATCAGAAGCAAATCAGGAATTAGGGAGAGCACGATAGGGTGTTGAAAGAGCTGAATTTAGCATAGGTTCAAATGTGAAATATTAGCTGGTTTCACACACTGGATGTGAAAAAATAGACAAACCAACCGAAATATACCCCGAGAAGAGGGAGATGTGTCTTGTTTTATGCCCAAAAAAGGAAGCAAGACACCCCTTTTAGTCTGAACCCAGAGATTGGCTCATTAGTTGCCACGGCGATGAATAAAAGATGATATGTCTGGAGATGAGGGTACTTCCTGGGGGAGTCGTCTGGGGTCTGAAACGATGAATACACAGTTTGGTCTCCCCCTATGCTACTTCACTAACATGTGGCGGGATGTCGAAGTTGCCTCCTTGTGATTTCAAATGTTCTTGATGCTTTGAACGGACCCTCGTAATCCTGCGAGGGTAAAGTCAGACAGCTCATGCCGATACTTGTAGATCGGCAAGGACTCATTCATTTTTCATCAAATCACAAACATTCAGGGGGTTCCGTTGCCGCCCCCAGGCTGTGTCTTTTAAGTCTGAAAGGCACAAAGCAGCTGCAATGCAATAACACACATTTAGGAGCGATCAGAACTACTTATTACATAACTTATTTACCGTCAACTCCAGTTTATGTGCACTCTTAATATGAAATGAGGACATTTTCCGGCTTTTAGTTGTCTTAATGAGCAATTCTTTGTACTGTTGTATACAGCAAGGATCCCCAGACAACTCAGTGTGATGCATAATACATGCATGTCTGTCAGAATGATGTCCTTTATGCTTCACCTGGGAAACAGACACAAAGAACGAGAGACTGTGGAAGTGTTAGCCAGAAAATATAATGAGGATGATGTGCCTTTTACTTGAAATACTGTCCCGTTCTACTTGAAGTCTATGCCGGTTAACTGTTAACTATATCAATAAAGCAAGAAGGGCTCCAAGTATTCATTGATTAGTTATTTGGCAGAAAAGAGACCAAAACAACTAAAACAACTCATTCAAGTTATATTCCTTTTTTTGTGAGAATTGTTTGCATTTTGTGCTTTATTGATTCTTGGTTGGACAAAAATGAACATAGAAGACAGAATGTGTGATTTTAAGAAATTTGACAACCATTTTTTAGACCACCAAATATTCAATTAATTGAGAAAGTATTTGGCAGATTAATATATAATGCAAATAAGATAAGATAAGTACTTTATTGATCCCAATTTGGGATTTTTTCCGTGTTGCAGCAGCATAAAAGACAAGGCATTTTACAATAAAACAAAACTACAAATAAACAAGAAAATAAAAAAAATAGAAAATATACATGTTGAATTTGCCCAGATATTATATATACAAATATATATATATATATATATACATAAATATATGACATATGAAATATTAATATTAAATATTGAACAGAGTAAAATCTACAACGTGATTTATTGTACAGAGTTATTGCAGTGGGCAGGAATGTTTTCCTGTATCGGTCCTTGTGACACCGGAGCTGCAGCAGTCTGTTGGAGAAGGAGCTCCGTTGACTGTCCAGCTGCAGGTGGAGAGGATGGGTGGGGTTATCTAAGATGGACAACAGCCTGTTCAGTGTCCTCCTCTCCACCACAGCTTCAAATGGGTCCAGCTTGATGCCGACGACAGACCCAGCTTTCCTGATCAGTTTATTGATCCTGCTGATGTCACCGGCTCGGATGCTGCCCCCCCAGCACACGTTGAAGGATCTCAGCTTCCTCCGAAAATAGAGTCTGCTCATCCCCTTCTTGTACACAGCAGACTCTATTGTCTGAGGAAGCTGAGATCCTTCAACGTGTGCAGCAAGATGCTGGAGATCTGTCTGTTGTGGCCGGTGCACTCTTCTTAGCTTTAGTGGCAGCCAAAAAGTAAATAATCTTTTCTTTATTTAAAGCTTTAAAGTAATGCAAAACTCTGTACACACGTGATTTGTTTAAAGCTGCGTTCATAAGGATGAAGGTTTATTGGTTGTAAGTAGAACTTTAACCACACGCAATACAGTAACATGTAAATGTTGTGTTATTTTTATTCTTGCATAGGCAGTGGCCATGGAAACAGGCTTCAGGTCTATTTACCCCTTCATTTAAAAAAAAATGTACACCCACAGACATCCGAGTACAGTGTATGCTGAAATGCAGCTCACAGGAATACTGTTCATTATTTGAGCATACATATTTATACAATGCCTGCCCTGTAGATATGTGCAGACAGTAACTAAGGAGCCAATTATAGAAATGATTGTCTAAGTTGTTTCTTAATCACAAATGCTAAACACTAATGCACGAATATGCTGCTTTTCTCTGACGTTGTCACTTTAATATTAGTTAGTTTTACACACAGGCAACTTTAAGTCACCTTCTTGAGTGTGAGGAGATTGTGATGGGCATGTCCACTCTTTCTGACATTTTACAGAAGGACAAATACATAAATTCATAAAAAATAACCCCTATGTAAAACAAAGGATCGGATCCATCTCAAACTAACTTGAATCCTCATTTCAGATCCGGCGATAAATCCATTTCTGAACCAGTTTATCTCACATTAATTTTCCCATCTCGTGCTCTCACTCTTGACCTTCCTTTGGCCTCTCTCCCATGTAGAACCCATACGATCTCTGTGTACAGTAAACAGCAGCATTAGGGTGTAAAGTCTATAAGACTGGCAGAATGTGTAAACACTGGACAGCTCCTGAGAGGCGGGCATTACAGATGCTTTATGGAAAGTTGTTCTTTGTTCAGAAATCTTATGGCTTTGTTTACACTGGCTAAGAATCCTAGGAATTTGAATGAGAAGAAGCATATCAAGATCGAGCTTTCCTACATATGGCTCCAGTATATTCCTCTTTTAATTAGTTTCTGCTTCCCATGGCCAATCATTGCCTCCTCTCACAACACTAACACGTCTTTCATAAATCCTCTTTACCCTCCTTCTTTTTCTCCGTCTAGCTATGTTCTCTCTTGCTTCCTTCTTTCTTTGCATCACTCCCAACCAGAGGCAGAGAAACGAGAATCCTGCCGTCTGCTGCCCTCTCTCTTTCCTCTGGTCTTCATTATGTCTGCTCTTTTCTACTTAATGTATCCTCCATCTTTGTCTCCCCCTTCATCAAGTCAGATATTTTGTCTTCTCCCTCTTTCCTCTTATTTTTGCCTTGATCCTTCTCCATCTCCTATTCTCTTTTTTTTTAATACATTTTCTCTCACGCTTGCTCTGTGTTTCCTCACTTTTTTCCTCCTCATAGCCTGAGGGACGGGAAGTTTCCACGTGTGTGTGTGTGTGTGTGTGTGTGTGTGTGTGTGTGTGTGTATTTTGTGTATGTGCGCCCTCTGCACTTGCACATTCCCTCACAAACACATATTTAAGCGCCGACCTTGCTCCCATGGGAGACCCTGCCAGTTTGAGTTATTTCAGAGTTTGTGTTTAAAGAGGACAGCCTGAGGAATCTCTCTGTGTCCCTGTTTTCTTTCATGTCAGTGCTCCTCCGTGAGCTTTGACTGGGCTGAAGGGGATGAGGGAGGTAACCGGGGAGGATTTCTTAGAGGTGCCAATGTTGCCGTTTGATTTCCTAGACTTTGGCGCTCACAAACGGCAAACCTGAAGAAGTTGCCAGGAAGCTAAAAACTAGGAATCACTCAATTCCAGATTTGAAAACAAGGGAAATTGCAGCTCATGTAAGGACTGAAATGAAGCGTGGATTTTTGTTCATGCATCAGACACAAAATATGAAAGTTCTATGCCATTCAGTGTGCAAATAGTTGAGAAAAAGATTGGAAGAGAGTACATCTTAATAGTTTTTTTTATCTTTATTGTGCCTGTTTGTGTTACAGAATGAATGTGACCTGGAAAAGGGTTTGGAGATGAGGAAGTGGGTCTTGTCTGGGATCTTGGCCACAGAGGAAACATACCTCAGTCACCTGGAGGCACTGCTACTGGTGAGAACACACAAACATACACACACTCACTACGTATAGCCATAATGTACGGTACAATGTAATTAGTAGTAGGCCGATTGATTCGGCACATTGAGCTGTAAGTATGGGATTTCATTATAGACTCTTCACACTTAATTTGATTTAGTGCCTTTTTAGATGCATCTGCAAAATGTAAATGGTTCAAAGTAACAAGATGGTTTCTTTTTTGCTGGCTGGCCTGAAAAACCACACTAATCGATTTGCAGAATAGCCGGCAGAAAAAAGAAAATGTTACTCGATCTAAGTGACCCGAAACTACTAAATGAATCCTTATTTTCTCGGGGTCTTCCGGATGTGTAGATATAAAACAGTTTGCTATAAGAAATCCATTTCAGTTGTTAATCTGACCAGCTAGAACCATTGCACAAGTACAAAAAGAAAGTCTTAAAGTTGACAAATGAATGAATTAATGTTAGCTTAACACACAAAGACCCTGCAAATGCCACTTTTTCATCTTTACCGTTTACTTCCTCGCAGCCGATGAAGCCTCTGAAGGCAGCAGCTACCACGTCGCAGCCTGTGCTCACCGTGGCTCAGATAGAAACCATCTTCTTCAAAGTGCCTGAGCTCTACGAGATCCACCGGGAGTTCTACGACGGACTTCTGCCCCGCGTCCAGCAGTGGAGCCACCACCAGAGAGTGGGGGACCTCTTCCAGAAACTGGTGAGCAGAAAGAAAGATAACTCCAAGACTTCTGTACCCATGATGGCAGATGTGACCTTGCTCTTAATGGAAGGGACGACATTGGGCACTCAAGAAAGTGTATTTGAAGGGACCTGTGGTTATGACACCAATGTGCTTCAGTGACATTATTCACAGTAATGTTGTTTTCTGAATCGCTTTCAGAAGAAGCTGTCAGCATAATACAATAAACCAATACTAGAAATGTAGATTTGATTTCATACTGATGCTCTTTTTTTTATCATATTATGTTAAGACAAATTGGATCTAAATCCTCCTTTCTTCCTGTGTCCTCCTCAATAGCCACTTGCTTACTCTCTGTTTTCCCTCCAGTAGCTTCTGCCGATGATGTCAAGGCCTAAACTGAGTCTGTTTAATCATTTTCACAATGGGTCAATTAACCCACAATGAACCATTTGTTCATCCAAAATACGGCTCCTCTCCCACTAGTGTTTCTCTCTCTTTCCCTCTCTCTTTCTCAAACTTATGCTTGAACTCTCTCTCACACACACACACACACACACACACACACACACACACACACACACACACACACACACACACACACACACACACAGCCCCGCGGTAGGAACAAGACTACAAATACTAAGGATTCGGGCAGGACGAGAGGAGAGTCTATAATCTCAGTACCACTCTGGTCGGAGATAACCTCATCGTGTCGGTCTTAGATGAGAGGAAAGGCTGAGAGTTAGAGGAAGGGGCAGGAGCGACATAGTGGAGGAGGTGAGAGTAGATTAGGAGAAGGAGGGAGAGGTGAGGGTTGACAGTGCATCGTAAAGAGAAAAGGGGGAAAACACCCTGATTCGCGAGACAGAGGACGACTGAAGGTATTGATTACAGACTCTCTCCTTGTGACATGTAGTTGAGGACGAATTATAAGTAGAAATCGGGACATGCCTTAAAATTTTGGTACTTGCTAGTGAGAAGCCCCCCTCAAAAACAGTTTAATTTATCACAAATTTCCATCCCTTTATTTAGATTCTCCTCGAAAAATTTCTTTTAAATAAACCCCCCCCCCCCACTCAGACGAGGATATACGTGATCAGACTCTCTCTATTTACTTTAGGGTTATGAATCGTTACGAGTTCTAACTCAGATGAGACTCAATACCTTAAACCACACACACATATACATATCACATATACACACACACGAACACACACACACCACACACACACACACATACACACACACACACGACACACACACACACAGACACACACACACACTAAATATACACACACACTCTCTTCCTCAAGGATAAATATCGTCGAAGAGCTTCTGTGTTTCGTGTGTCGTGTAACTGACCGGAGTCGACGACCCCATCTTCCCTTCCGTACACTTTGTGCGACGTGGAGGCAGACACACACACACGTTCGCGCGCACACACACACACACNAAAAGATAAAGCAGTTGTTTGGTTACTTCACATGTTTCTGTCTCTCAGGTGGTTCTGTGATCCTGGAGAGTCCTGCTCTTCCTGTGATGGAGGGAGAATCTGTGACCCTGATCTGCAGAAACCAGACCTCCACCCTGTCAGCTGACTTCTATAAAGATGGCCGCCTCATCAGGAGCAGCTCTTCAGGAAACATCACCATCCACAGGGTTTCTAAATCTGATGAAGGACTCTACAAGTGCAGCATCGCTGATGGTGGAGAATCACCAGAGAGCTGGCTGGCTGTCAGAGGTGAGATCAGCCTTAAAGGTCCAGAAAACATCTTCTACTATCTCTGACAGTACTGACAGAGTTGGAATGGAGGAGCGAAATGAATTGCATTTGAAAGACCTTATCGATAGGCAAACCTATACTTCTTTTGAGCAAACAATTATATTTTGAGAGTCATGTTCTCAGGGCGTCGGCGTAAAGCTATATAGCGCCGTCTATACATTTGCTAAAATGCATCCCTTGCTCAAATTAGAAATGTGCTGTGTGTATGTAGTATTGAGAGATGCACACAAAAGCCTCTCGGGGGCATATCGTAAACCCAACAGGAAGTCTGCAATTATGGATTTTACATCTCATGAGGGATCAGAGACCAAGCCTGACCAAACATCTGCACGACCATATACACTGCACAAAGCGCCCCCTGCTGGGAACAGGAAGTAACATGTTTTGAACTCAAAGTCCTCCTCCTCCCAGATTATTCCGATCTCTCTCTGAAATGTGGTCAGATAAGCCTTAAGAGGTGGGGGAAGCTCCATAGTGAAAGTTGTGTGTCTGGGTTGAACGGCTTGGCTGTGGCGGCGTGGCGAAGGGGTGGCACATTTCGATCCTTTGCCATGACCAAACAAATGTTGTATATCGCCTTTAACATGGTTTCAACTTTTCAAAACTTCACTTGTTGGATGGTCATATCGCCACCTAAATCAATAGGGATTCGGCCATTTTAAATTTAGTGTGATTTTGGCCATTTGTACACGTGAGAAAGAGCGTTCTCTACGCTAGTGGACACCAAAGGTAGTGGAAGATAGTTATTTATTTTACTAAAGCACTTTAAGAAAGAGGACAGAGGTACAACTATTGACTTCTTTTCCACATTCACAAAAAAATAGGGCACTCTTTAAAGGAATATTATTATTACTATTGTTACATTGCATTTAGCTGACGCTTTTATCCAAAGCGACTTACAATAAGTGCATTCGACCAGGAAGATACAACCTTGAAGAAAAACGGAATCATATAAGTACATCAGGTTTCATAGAGCCAAACATTTCAAGTGCTACTCAACTGGCTTTAGATAAGCCTGCCCTTAGTTAGTATATACTGTAAGTGCTTTGTTAGTAATTCTATCTCTCCAAGTGGAGTCTAAAGAGATGAGTTTTCAGTCTGAAGAAGATTTGAAATCAGGACAGCAGAAAGCTTACACATCTTCTTCAGACTGAAAACTCATCTCTTTAGACTCCACTTGGAGAGATAGAATTACTAACAAAGCACTTACAGTATATACTAACTAAGGGCAGGCTTATNCTCCTCACCTGTGTCTTGTTGTGTGATTGAGTCTTGTGTGTATTTAAGTTCTGGGTTTTCTGTCTGTCTTGGTCGGTTCGTCCTTGTTCTCTGACTAGTTCTGCGGTGAGTGTTCTGTTTGTCATTGTCTATATATCTCATAGCCTTGAAATAAAGGAAGTTTCAGTTTAAATCTGCATTTGGGTCCTGCTTGTTTCACAAACCGTGACAGAATCGTTTTTCAAATAAAATATATATGACATCAAACCAATCTGTGCAGATACCAATTACATTTTTATATTTAAAAGGACTTTAAACTTGCAAAGATTACAAAGGCAGTGGGCGGAATTTGACATAGATAAAACTTGATATGACAGAGATTTATGTTATAATTTATCTAAAAGTGTGCTCAGTTGAGATCTTGTATTTGACCTCGGACTGTGGAAACTAGACAGCGTATTATTCTAGAAAAAGAAAAGCAGATTGACTGTCAGATGGTTTGTCTGAACAGTATAGAAAACTATTTCAACTTTGTCTTCTATTGTACATTTCTGTTGTGACTACACAATGCTTTGTAGCAAGATGTTGGGTAAGATAAAAAATAGATTTTGATGTTGTTAAAATGGATGCTCCACAAACACTGAGATAAGTGTTCCCATATGAAATATGAAAAAAGTCAATTATCTGTTTTTTATGTGAACAACTCATTGGGCATACTGATTTTGTATTTTTTTTGTGTCTGTTTCCAATTTAATCCCTTTTTGCTTTTCCACTTTGTATAATGCAGAGATAACAAGGTCAAGATTGATTAACTAAGTATTTAGTATTTCACTATCGACATATAATTGGTCCTTATATTATCTAGAGAGACTTTGCAGGGACATTTTATCCAAACAGTAAAGAGTCACATATTTACAATGTGCTATTCTCATACCTCGTTCCATTTGGGTTCAGTAGTGTATCGATACACTCTCGTCTTGGCTTTATTTGAAAAGAAGCCAAAGGAATCCACCTCCATTGTGCAGTAGAGATCTGAAAGAGAGGTTTAAAAACAGAGGACATTTATAAAACTAAAGAAGTGTACTGTAGTTTGTGAATGCATTACAGTAGCAGAACTGACTACATGATGTTATCCACAGGAAGTCAAATAGGAATGAATCACATTCAATTTGTCACAATGTTTAAGAAGATGTGAATTTCAAAAATAAAACACTGTGTTCTACTTCTCAGTGGTCGGTAGAGTTTCCTCATTTTGTCTGATTATCTGTATTTTGGGCTGTGTGCATGAAGGCTAAAGGGGGGTGACTCACTCAAGCTCTGTTTGAGGCCGGAGGCAGAGTGGACGATTACATTCAGGAACCCGTGGAGACCGGGGGATTCATCCTCTGGAAAAGCAGTCAGCGGGCAGAGAGAGGAGGAAAAAAAGTCAGCGAGAGGGGATTAGAAAAGCAAGCAGATCTGTGTTTGTTTTGGAACCAAATCAGACATGGAAGGAAAGGATAAAAACGGCCCTGGACAGAGAAAACACGCTGCCTAAACCTCTGCCTACTTTTCTAAATCACAGTTATTAATCACAATCTTTTTTTTCTCCATGACATTATTAAGAAATACAGAATGATCCGTGCAACTTTTTTCAGTAAACCACGTTTGAGTGTAAAAACAAATGTAAAAACGAGTGCCTCACCTTCTTTATTGATGCTAAGTGGAATGTGGTGTACAGTCTGCAGTTTGACACAGGAGCTGGTCAGCATTTGCAGCTCCATGGAGGTCAAGGAGGACGTTTTCAAACCTTAAGGGAAGACAGTAAATGCTGCTTGTAAATGACACTGTATATTGGTCTTGCTTTCTTAATCTCAAGGCTCTCGGATTAGTACTGGCCACATTGAGCTTTATAGCTTTCAAGTGCCTAGGATGTTCTTCACAAATAAAATAAAATGACATTTCTAGGACACTTACATTTCTTCTGCTGTTCCTTCATTATCTCCCTCCACTCGGCGCGCTCATAGTCGGACGAAATCAGGAAACTGTAACTCTGAATTTAAACACAAACATTCTGTTATTTCATCCCCCAGTGATGAGGAGAGGCAGACACACGTCATCTGTGCACAGACACAATATTACAATTAAATGGCATGCATTCTTTTCCAGCTAACTTCAACCTAATAACATTTTATACAGAGAATGCTTCATACTTCAAACATTTTTTAACAATGAGAATGGAAATCATCTTTTTCCTTTCTATTACATTACATTGCATGATATTAGGATAGCAGAAAGATTATGAATGCACTTATTGTAATTCAATTTGGATAAAATCCTTCGCCAAATAAAATCCAATGTAATGTAATGGATATTGTGCTGGGAATAAAGGAGATGATGACCAAAATAAAATGACAAGGAGGGAAAGCATATAGAGAAGAGGCGTGTACAGGGGAGCAGTAGGAGGAGGGGGATGGGGGTAAGAAACCATGATGAAGGTGTCGTTACCTTGCCGTTCTTGTTGTAGACTCTAATCGGCAGGCTGGGAGCCATTAGGAGGAGCATCGACTCCTGCTCGAACAGCTTCTTCCTGAGGCGGTCGATGACTTTTGAGCCTTTGTTGGCTCTCTGAAAACACACAGGTGAAAATGACCTGTGTGACCTTGTGTATGTTTGTGTGCTGAAACCTGATCATCATACATTTAAATGAAATGTGTTTCCAAATAGGTCATTCAATTATTTATCCCTATTTCTGGAAAGTAGATTTGATAGTTCCTGAACATATCTTTATGAAACGGTGTCTACCTTCTCTCTCTGAATCTCACTGCGGAGGTGTGAGATCTTGACCCTCATGGCGTCCAGCTCTTCGTCGGGGACCTGTGGGATGGTGAGGGGCTCCGCTTCCTCGGGACCCTGGAAGGTCAGCTCGGTCAGGGGGATGTACCACTTACTGTCATACTGTTGGTTTTTACTGCAGGGGAGGAGAAAAGAGAGGGGATGGAGGTATGAGATGAGTGGATTGATAAGGAGGGTTCAAAGGTGTGGATGAATAGGGAGGAAAGGGGACAGTGGAAATGGGAAACGAAAACATGATTATTTTGCAAACTCTAAATTAAAGTGCTGGTTTTATGTTGGAAATAAATTAGGCTTAAAATAACTGATACTAACTAAATATTTAGATGGTAGATAACTTATCTATCTAGATGTTTTCTAAAACCTTCTGCAACTCGGGTAATTAGAAGAAGAAAAATATTTTAACCTAAGAAATAAATGTTAAACTATAATGACATAACATGTCCTACTGCAGTGCTGGTAATTCATATATTTGAGTGTTCTTCCCAGTCTCTTACCCTCCGATCTGTTTCTTCAGCTTGGCGCAGAGCAGCAGATCAGAGAAGAGGAAGACGTGCCGCAGTTTCCTCGCTCCCTCCACCAGCTCCACCACGAAGCTGTCCCTCAGAAGCTGCCGGTTCTGTGGATACAACACACAACACTGGTGATCAGTAACGATAAGTCAAGACTAATGGAGCCACCTCAGGGGAAATGTTCTTGTTACAGTTCAAGAGTCCAAAAGAATAAATGAAACAACATTTTTAAAAGGAGAAATATAGAAATACTAAATAATATTATGTTTAACAGATAGTAGCATACAGATTAGCGTGATGCCTTTTTAACTCATACATGATCCATCGTGGATAATTGCACCCAAAAAGGTAATACACACATAGTTTGTTTACTAGATAAATGAAAAAGGATATACACACATAATTAGCATAGGGTAAAACCGGAGAGGGTCAGTAACTCTTTCACAATATGTGGATGTGTAAAGCCTTTGTATTGTTGCTGCATCCTAAATCTTTATTCCTTCTCTTCTCTGCCCACCATACGAGTCCTCAAAAACACGACAAGAGGAGACAAATAAAAAACCGAGTGAAGATGTGAGGCGGGTGACAGGATTTTGTTTTTATTTGCTGCAGCATCCTCAAAAATGCGGCTTTATTGAAACATCAGTGACGATGCTCATGTGCAATCTAGTAATGTTTATTGAATAATACCCCAAATATTACGCCCAGAATGTTTGAGGAATTTGCATGAATAGCATGAACTAAACTAATCGCCTGACAAAAGCTTTTGTCATTTACCAGCATAATCATCAATGCCCAGGTTCTAGAGGAATGAATGAGGTAATGGCAGCCTGGGAATCGCTGATGTCAGACTACATAATGAGATGTGTAATACTGTCATCTGCCAAAAGGGGGCAGTAATGTCCTTTTCTAAATTACAACACACATTTACAAGAACGGACTTAGAACAATAACTGAGCAAAGAAATACCAAGCCACCACGGAGTAGTAAACCATCCACCTTTACATGCTGATAACACTGGTTTTACTTTAAGCTTGAGGGAGGGTAAAAAAAAAAAAACTGTGATTGTTTAATTTTTCTTTTTAACTCACCGGGAGAACAGGACATAGCATGAAAAGGACTTAGTCAATGAACACTTAATGTTTATGCCTGCTTTCATGTCCTAGTTGTTAAAAATACATAATTCCTGTGTTCAAATACATACAAATTGTTTCAGTCAAAGTTAAAAGATTAAAGAGTAGGCACAGCTAGTTAAAAAGAAACACTTGAGGTGCAAAGAACATTGACTTTCGCATCCTTATCTTCATCTTTGTGCTCCCTCCCCCACCTCCTGTCCCCCCTCCATCAGGACCACACAGCCACTGTCACCACCAGAACACACTGGAGTGGAGCTGATGCTCATGTAGAAGAAGTTTAATGTTTTACAAAACCTGACTGGAAATCTGCTGGCAAAGAGGAGGATCATACTGTGTCACTCGGTGTTAGTGCGTGATGGAGAGGATGACAAAGTCAGAGGGAGCCTGAGAGTACATCCCAAGGAAACTAAATGGCTTAAAGAGAAGACGCAGGACGAAAAAGGATCCTGATGTCATGCTGCAGTTTCAGACTGTAGATACCAAACCATGTGACACAGCTCCACTGCAGTCATCTGTTGTTGAGGGGCTTCTTTATGCACATGCACATGCGAGCACACATGGAGATCCTGCAGCAGATTACAAATATGTTCTTATCCCCGCAATAAGGATCTAATAAAAAATGTATTTCCCAGCGCGGAATACAATTATTCATTACCAGCTAGATAATGAAGCCTGAAATGATGTCGACCTGTGATAGATAACTTCCAGATGAGTGGCTTTCTGTCTATATGGCATATTTCTCTCGTGGATTCTGAGATCTGTCAGGGAACAACTCGTCTCATTTCCTGGTAGGCTACATTCTGTGATGTTTTACAGTCTGAGATTTGATGAAATTGCTGTTAAGTATTTACTATAAATTCCATCTCCACCCTTGTTTTTGGACTATGCTGCCAGAAGAGCAGCACATCTATGAAAAGACTCCACATGTATTATAATCCCCCTGAGGATATGTTCTAGCTAGAATATAAAACAAGGCCCCATCTTTCGTTACTCCCATCAGTCTGCATGCTGTCATGTTGGTCTATAAATATAACAAGTACTGTACAGAATTAAGAATGAGACATTGGTCACACTGCTTCACTTAGTTCAGTTCCTCATATACAACATTAAACTGAAGGAATGAGTAGTAGCTGCAGGAGCTTAAGCTATACTGCCGTGTAGCTATATTAAGAGCATAGATGCACAATCAGTCTGATCCAATTGGACTCTATAACATAATCACAGATTTGAGGTTAAAAGGGGATTTAATCCGTTGCCAATTACGTACAGTATACATCATAAAGGGATTTAACGTTCGTATGCCATTTATAAATAGATATGGTAAAAGGACCTCAACTCCACAGCCTAGCTAGCATGGCATAGCTTTCAGCAGCAGCATGCTAACTCAGGATGTCAATGTTAACGTGTTGATGTTTAACAATTGTCATGTTAGCAATAGTCACCTCTTACTTTAGCATGTTAGCATTAAACACTTAGCACCAAGTACAGTTGAGGTTGAAGGGGTATTTCATCAGTTTAGCAGATGTTTTGTCATAAATTGAATTATATTTGGAAAAATGAAACTAGAAACATTTCAGATATCTCACCAGATAAGTGGCAAAATGTATACGTAATGGTGGATAAGAAAAGAACGATAAGCTACAGATTTAAACTAGATTTAACCAACAGCTGGATGCATACTAAACTTGTATAATTACTTCTTTTTCATTTTTGTATTCTCCTCTTACAACTTTAAAGAGTTTAGCTTTTTTAATCCTTGCTGACAGGAGTGGTGGCAACATATTTTTCCACAGCCTGTGCAGCAGTGATGTAGCGTGGCACCATGGTACCACCCTACATCACCAGCAGGCTGTGGTCACATTACGAGGGACCACACCTGACCACACCTAGCTGGGATGTTGGGTGTTTAGCTTTCAGCTCACAGAGGCCAGGGCAGCTTTGTTTCCCATCTTTCCAAAATCTAGCCTCGAGTTTCTTTTAAATGATAATTTTTTTTCTGTGGATGGTCTTAGAGCAGACTGCAAATTAAGAATGTTGCACCTTAATATGGAACAGAAAGCACAAAGTACATTATGTTGGATTACAATAAAGTCAAAAAAAAATACTTATGCTGATGTTTGTATTGGATTAGATTTAATGTTCAGGTAAGTAAACTGGGCTTCAAATGACCGACTGGGAAACTACGCTTCCCATCTGTGATAACCCTCCTCATTGATCCTATGATAAAAAGAGATAACATAAAGGGAGGGATAACAGCTAGATTAAGGATTTACAGGATTCCTACTGTGTGGGAGTGAATGTGAATTTATTTGAAGGGATAAAGCCAGACTGGCTACTAAAATGCTGCAACACAAAGGCATTTATACAACCTGCACATTCAAATTCTGTCATTAACTTTGACTCCATTAAAAGCACTCATTTTTGAATCAGTAAAAAAGAATAGCATTAATAATGCTGATCTCAACAGATGTGTTATTTAAACGCTGAATAAAAGGTTTAACACACTCGCTGAATGCCTGCAGAGACTTCTATTGTCTCATTTAATCAATGTTCATTGTTTTTATCTTTGGTTGCAGATGCATATTCCAGTTAATGATCATTCCTACATCAGGAATCTGATGCATTTAAAAATGTGCTTACACTGCTGCTTTGCTCTGCAACTGGGGGAAAATACAAGCTGTCTCAGCGCATCAGATGACATTTTCACAATATTGAACAGCCAGTAGGAGAAATGTGACTTTCTCCGTTCTCATAATAGCTGACCGGAGCATCAGCAGCACGTGGGAGCGAGGCGATGTGAGGCAGAGCGCGCTGACAGCACATAACGCAGATTAAATATTGACCATCTCCTGGAGGAGCCTTCTGAGAGCGTGTGCGCGAGTAATGGCATGAATTTACAAAAGATACATGTTTATTTTTAGACCGCCGCACGCTTGAAGGGGCTTTTCTGCGCTGCGCCTGTGTGTTTTCTGTGTGTGCGTAAAACAATGTGTGTATAAGGGGACTAGTTTGTGTCATGGAAGACAGACAGAGCACCAAAATACACACACAAACAGTCACATCAGGAGCACATGCCTCCCACAGGCAAACAGAGCAGAGCGAAGGGGGAAATTGAGATTTAAGCAGCGCTGTCATTTGCATTTTAATCAAGAAGCTTCTGTTTGTCCCCTCCCCTCGTCACATTGGCCTCTCGGGGCCTCCGGGGGACACTTGTGCTGCAATGCTACTGCATTCCTCCACTGAACAGACCACAGGTTTCTCACTAGTGTGAACACATGGAGTGACACTTCAGTGCTCCCTGAACACAATTTCAGGTCGGACCATCAATGAGCACTGTGGCCTTTTCCCTATTCTTAACATCTATCTGAACGTTTTTGTCTTAATCGACTTGACGCAATTCAATAACGATCATGTTGCAAAAGTGCGCCCCACGAACCATCAGTGTTGTTTTAACTGAGACAACAATAGAACAACACCATGCTAATGTTTATAGACTTATTGTTCCTTTGAGATTTATGACTGTTTTAAGAGCTTCTACAGGCCGCAATGAGTCGAACTGTTGCAACGTAAGTGTTTGCGGTGTCTGTATCTGTTCTCTGCCTGTACTGTCTCTTTTTTATTCATTTTGCCATGTTGCGGATGCTTCTGGGCGACAATCTTAATGGAAATGCAGCTAACTGGTGCCAGATCCCAAGTGCCCATCCAAGATATAGCCACGGAGATGTCCGATACTTCAACGAAAAAACGTTACAGAGGCAAAGCTTTCTAAAAAAATGAAAGGGAATCAGTTGAATTGAAAGTAATAATCATTCATTGTGTAAAAATGACTGATTCAATTATATCAATGTCATTTAACCTAATCCTGCGCTCATCAAATTTGTTTTGACATCACGTGAATAAGTTAAACAATCAACCCGATCAAAGGTTCCCTGAGTTCCCTCTTGGACATCTGAAGGCTCAGAAAAAGGACTGCAATGATGTTAGTGTGCACATACAGTACATCGTGGAGGGGTCAGAGAACAGAATCAGCAGAGCGGCAATTTAGGAGGGTGAGGGTGTAATGAATCCTATAACTCAAATAACTTGATAATTCTATGTAAAACGCATATAAAAGCAGCTTTAAAACACATCCTCTCTACTAAAAGTGGAGTCTAAGCATCGCCCTGCTTATTGAATAACTGTTTCTAAACTTTACAGTTAATGGGAATCGACAAAGAAAGATATACGTTGCAGCTCAGGTGATGAAATGTGGATAAAAACCTCAGGCATTTTACTGTATACACGCCAAGGTAAGATATAATGAGCCCCATTGATTTCCATGTGCAGCTTTCATGTATCCACAATAAATATTTGATGGCTGGTGTGGAGGTCTAGATGGACTCGGGTTGGAACTGGGGCCTGCGGGGACACATAGGAGGGTAAGTGTGTGTGTCCGGGTGTGTGCGCGTGTTCAAAGGCACACAAGAGAAAGAGAGCGAGTGAATGGAACAGAGAGTGTGTTTGTGTGTGGAAAGGGTGCAGTAATGACCCCCCTGTGAGCAGAGGGAGGAGCCCGCACAGACTCTCTTTTTTTTCCCCTCGTTCTCTCCCACCCTTCATTTATGAATAATTAACTTGGAATCTGCCAGTCAGAGCGGACCGGTGGCTCATTACAAGGCATTATGTACGGCAGTGTCGCGCAAGCTATAAATCAAGGGGCGTCCATTCATGTGCGTCAAGTCATCTCCGGGGATGACAGAGACTATGGGGGGTGGGTTGTGTGTGTTTGTGTGTGTGTGTGTGTGTGTGTGTGTGTGTGTGTGTGTGTGTGTGTGTGTGTGTGTGTGTGTGTGTTTGCGTTAGGGGAGATGGGAGGGTTGGGAAGCCACAAGAGAGACACCGAGCAAACAGAGAATCAGCCTCAGCCAGGCAACCCTGTATGACCATATAAGGGCATGGGCTCTGCTTTAAGCTGCAGATTGGCGGCTCATGTTCACTCAATTGGCAGCAACTTCATGGTCATTTTGGAGGCGGGGTTATGACATCACCATGCTCAACATCACAGCAGGAAAGAGTTCAAATTATGAAAAAAATTAACTGCTAACACCTCTCTGTGGAGGAAAGGGAATTGAGTCTTATTTCAGTGAATGTTGTTAGTCAAATGTAGTAAAGGGACAGTCTGTATGAATCAGATTCTGATTTACTATTACTTGCTCTAGTTCAGTTAGATATACTGTAAAATGACAACCTTAAAAGACCCAACACAATGCGCAAAAAGACGTTGCAACACAAGTAATATATAATTCTTCGTATCAACTAATTGAAAAAGAGCATGCTGATTAAAAGGTGCCAGAAAGAGGACCACTTAAAGTCATGATGTTTTGTAAATCTCTCACCTCTCCCTTCTTGACAGTCATGGACTGGCGTCGGGGCGTCGACTCCTCGTTGATGCTGGACAGGAAGTTCTGGGAGATCCGCAGGGCGTCCTGCAGCAGCGGGTGGTCCGGGTGGCTGGTGGGCGTGTGTTTGAGCAGATCCTGGAGAACAGTGGGGAAGGACAAATATTGACTTTGTGCAGGTTAAAGACCACATATTCAGTATGCACAGTACATATTACTGTATTTTCCTTTCCAGCCCTAATGATTAATAAACAGTGCAGTCGCCCTGTCTAAATGAAACCCCTGCTGAAAACAGTACGGTAAAGTGATATTACTTTTTCATCGATACAATAAACGAACACCTAAATACCAATTATTTGTTACATATCTAATAGAATTGACCTTTAGAAATGTATTAACAGGATTTCTTTATAGAGACTTCGGGTGTGTATTGATGGAGACAATGTTGTGACATAGATATAAAAAAGAAACTACATGTTATATTCTTACAATGTTGAAGTTATGTTGTAGGCAACAAAGGCCACTACTACATATCATAGATACAGATGTGTGGTGAAACCGTATTAAGATGTATTGCTCTTACTTACATGAAGTACCAAAGTGCTGCGAGTCACTCTGTCCACTGGTTTATAAAGCAGCGCTGTGCATGAGAATACAAATACAAAAGACTGAGTTGTTACTGTCATTTTCTATTATTACGTATTTTAATAAGCAATTCTTAGATATACAATTAATAAAACACAGGATGTGACTGACCTTCTAGAGAGTTCTTGGCCGTCTGGTCCTTAGAGTCCTTCGGGCTCCTCACCTTCAGGTTCTGTTTGGAGACACAGGTTTTAAAAAAACATGTCTCCGACATATGAAAACATAGTGAGGTTAGCATCCCTGCTCTAGCACTGAGGTCATCCACTTGCAAATTAATTAGGCCATCCTCAGCAGCTTTTCCGACCCCCACCATCTTGCTCAGATGGCTCAGAGTCATGCATCATTACGCAGGCCATTAACAACCCTCCATGATGAATTCCCCACCCTGCATGCAGACACCAGCTCAACGCTAACTGGTAGACCTCATAAAACATTGGACGAAGACTGATGGTGTCCCAGAGACTACTTGATTTTTTTTTAAATAATGTATACGAAAAAGAGGTGTACATTTCTTTTAATATATATACTGTAGTTTGAATAAGCCCCCCACAATGAGCAGCTTTTATAGTGGTGAAAATAATGTTTTAAAAGCTGCATCTTAAACTATTTTTGTAGCTGCTGGACAAATAGAAACATCCCCTAATGTATGAATAGAGCTGTAGTGGTGTTTGAACTCTTACAATTGAATATGACACTGCTGGGAATGTAGATTAGTTCAAAACCAGGTTCAATTTTGTTCCAAAACTACATTAGAGGCATGAGAATAAGTGTTTCCAAATCTAGTTTGTGGGTGATAAAATAAATTGTTCTGAGCCCTCGAAAGCTGTTGGCAACTTGTGTTTGGGGAAAAGATAAATGACCAGATTTGTTACGCTGTCAAGGCTCACCCCCGCTCTGTGTAGGTGATACTCGGCTCAGATTCTGAGAGAGAAAAAGACCAAGCAACCATCCTCTGCATTTCCCCTGATTTAATTTATACACACTGAATAATAACACACAAATAATTGCGTCTGGTTGCATTTGTATACAAATATTCAGCAGAACATGCAAATGTGAGTGCAGGGAAATGCTGAAAGATGAGTAGGGGTATAATGAGAGAGCCTTTTGCAAGTAGAGTGCATTAGAGGTAAAATTGCAAAGCAGCACTTTCTATAAAAACACCTCTCAACTTTTCCTTTAACAAGAAACACATTTATCACTTTGCTGTTAGTCAGTTATACTGTATGTTCTTTGTCATTTTTGTATGACTAGGTGACGCTGCTTTTCTCTAAGATGTGGTCCAGCTGCAGCACGACGGTTATAGTTTAGATTTTTGTTATTAAAATAAGTATACAGCCACACAAGACCAACTGCTTTATGGTGACATAAAAGTAACTGTATTAGAAACACTAGCTACTATGTCAGCAAGTTGATATCCAGTATCATAACAAGCTAAATTATATTACACAATCAAATTATATTAAGCTAAATGTGCTGTAGTAGCAATTTGGATTCAACAAATGTGCATATAAACTCAAATGTGTGCAACAAAAGGATGTAATAGACAGGAATTATGGGACACACTTGTTTGTGTAATGTGATGGTGAAAATCACCCCTGTGATGAATGCTCAACTTAACTTAACACTAACTTTCATCTAAATTAGATACAGCTCTGCGCCAAACATCATAAAAAGAACAAGCAATTGGATAATTTGCTGGTATGTAGGGGGTTAAGAGTCTGACTGACCGATTTTACACGGTTGTAAAATGATCCCATAACTGTGAGATCACAGCTTCCACTCCTGCAACAGCTTTGAGGTTGAAGCTAGAACAGTAACTTTTCCCCCCATTTCTTATCCCCACATCTACGGTATAGCCTCCAAAAAATATCTATGTTTCGGTTTTTCCCTTTCTTCTTCTTACCTCAGCGATTTCAGCAAACTGTGTGTTGGCCTGGCAGCACTTCTCCGCCGTCTCCACAGCCAGCTCGTAGTTGTCCACAAACGCTCGGTAAACTCCAAGCTGGCTGGCCTGATGGAGGGAGAGACACAGAGGAGGGATGTTTTAAATAACATTATTAAACATATTCAAAGTAAAAGAGATGTTTGTCAGGGAATGTCATTTGTATAGAGATTGTTCTGCCTGCACTTAATGTTTCAAATTCAAATACAAATAACAGTGACAGTAAACCCTGTGTGAGCTTCTATAAATAGCAGCATTGCCTAGTCTCAGACTGAGCTGTTCATTGTAAAGACAGTAAGAGCAGTGAAACCCATAAAAACAGTCTTTCAAACAAACTCAATAGTCCTCTTCACTACTTCCTTATCCTAATTGTCACCACTTCATTTCCTAACGCCATACAAACTGCAGCCCTTCTGCTACTTTAGACATACTTGAACACCAGTCACCAGGAGTAACAGAAAATATATATTTTGTTTTTCACAGATGCCAAACTATATTTGACAACATGTAAACTTGTTAGAAGTTATTTACTTTCTACAGGGTAAAAGTAGCGTGAATTATTTTGGTTATTTATGGATTATCCAAATAACAAAAAAGGAAAAGGAAAATGCTGAAACTTTGGCTTTATTTTGTGCGTAAAGAAGAAATGGGAAGGAACATCACAGAACGGTTATTAACACTTAGAGGATGATTTGCTCACTTTCCAGTTTATGAGGATTATGCTTTTTCTGTCAGGAGGCATACCTGTGTGAGAAGACTGCTTATAGTGAATGTGCAAAACGCTTCAAATGTCTGATCCAGCAAACAGAGCCGAAGGGAAATTGGCATCTAGGTTAATTTATATGGGTACTACTGATGCTCAAGGTTGAAACACTAATGATGATGATCCCAGCTGGAACTTGATTTCCTTCAGATTAGTTGGCTTGTTAGAAAAACAAGACAAATCTTTGCATTGGACAATATGAGTTAACATTCTCAGGGTGACTTTAAGAATGCTACATTGAGTCAGTGTGACGTATAATCCGTGAATCTGAGATTAAATCTATTCAGCTGCTTTTGAGACAGGACTTGCAGACAATCAAACGAAACAAACAGCAAAGGAGAGACGTAGATCACGGTCCCCAACAACAGCACGTTACCACGATGCACCTCACAGCCGGGCCCGTTGCCCTGGAAACCGGCGAGACTTACACTGTGCCGGGGTGAGTAATTAATGGTTGGTGTAACGGAGGCTATGAAAGCACGTTTAGGAAACTGGATGGCTGAATAAAACTCCACCAAACGCTGCCTGCCAGCGCTGCGATCCATCTCCACGGCGAACAAAAGCACAATCAATTCTCCTGAACAAAAGCCAGCGGAGGAGAGAGTACAGTGGAGATGGGCTCTGTGTGTAATGTCGATAGGCCTGCACGCACACACAGAGACTTCTCAAAATAATACAAAATCTTTCCTGAGTGTATGGAACATGAATTATGTATTACCTTTAGAGCTCTTTATGAAATTGTATTGTTATATTTTAGCCCCATAAGAGCTGGGTGGATCTTAAGTCATTCGGGCAGATTAATTTGTCCTTTAGAGAGGCAAGGTTTTAATGTAAATCTAGCTTTATAACAACTTGGGTCGTCAACTACGTCGTACTTGTAGTACTTAGCATCAGTTCTATCTGTTATGATAGCAATTTACTCATCTCTGAGATGTTGTTCCCCAGCTATGATGGAAGTAGACAAGGTGAGAAATGAGCGGTCTGAATGTCAGAAAGCTTGTAAATAAGCCTACAGATATGACAGATTATCCAAACCACTTTGGAGGTTGAACCAAAAGTGAGTTTTTAGTACAGTTAACTGTACAGTCTGCATTTAATTGCCATTAAGTGTAAAAGGTTTAACATACAATATTTTTCTCAGTTTTCTTATCATGGAGGTTAGTGTACCAACCTGTCTAAATGTCTGCCTGTTATTACTGTACTTGTTATGTTTCTGGCTTGTTCTCTCCATTTTGGCAGAAACAACAAGCTTCTTTTTCATGAAATTTGGTGGAAGAGTTCCTCATTGGCCAAGGATGAACCTAATACATTTCTGATACTAAACATTGGGCGATACATAATAGTTTTTCGCTTTCTTTAACATTGGAAGATAGGGAATCTGAGCTGCATCCATGTTGTTATGGAATTAGCTGAAAAAATTGTTCCCGACTTTCCTTGACATTTCGATAAACACTCCCTCAAGTACGACAACAACTTCGTAAACACCCATCAAGTATGAAGAATGTTACTAGATACTGATGGGAAAACGAGACCCACGTTGCAACAAATTAGACTAAGTTAGCTTTTTTTGTTGATTTTAATTGCCTTGTGGGAAGCACTTTATAATTTGATTAGAAGTGGTCTACAACTAAAGGACTTTAACATATACACATGGTTATTCTTGTCTCAAACTGACCTCATTCATCCCTGTTTAGGCATGACCTTCGGGAAAGGCCCTGATCTTCGCTGTCATGGATAGGTGTGAGATTCAATTCTGCCAGGAATGTGAAGTCACAAGATTTCTTAACATTGTTGACACTTGTGATGTTGTTGCAGGCATCTACAGTGTGTACTTGGTGTGTGTTAGATCTTTACAGAAGCCCAGAAAATAGAAAACCTCAGAAAACATATGTGCCTGAAGTAGTACTTTACCAAATGTATTTCATAATTTGTGTTTTTTATACACTCATTCCTGAATTTCAGGCAGCAAACTGGCTCCATAATGGATATTAAGTGCTTTTTACATTTACATCTTTATAGAAGCCCAGAAAATAGAAAGCCCAGGAAACATACATGAATGAAAGTGGTACCTTACCAAATGTTTGTCATAATTTGTGTTTTCTATACACTCATTCCAGAATTTCAGGCAGCAAACTAGCTCCATAATGGATATACAGTGCTTTTTACATTTATCCGCACACTAGAACTTGAGTAAATAAGGAGGAAGGCGAGGAAAAAAGCAATTTTCACAATCCTGCAATCCTGTGTCCTGCCCTGGGCCACACAATCTGTAGCGCAGTGGAGGCCATTCAGAGCGTGACAGTTTGACTGTGGAGAGAACAGAAAGCCCGGATGTCTGCCAGCCACATCCACAGAGTCGCACAACACCGCGAAGGCTTACTGCATGTGCGTCTGCAGCTCCAGTATCATGGCAGAAAGTGGCTTTGGGTGATGAAAGAAAATGCTTGGGTGTTTGGATTTCTCAGTCCGGGATTTGTCCTGTGTGAGAGTATGTGTGTAATCCACAGCGGAAAACAACATTAAGAAAACAGCCTCATGACAGACTACGGCCATTATAGGAGAAGGCTGGATTTAGCCACTTTAAAAAAGGGAGTTTTACCAGACTGGGATATTTTGCGACAGGGAAAAAAAAAGGCTGTTTAGTCTACAATGACATAATGATATGAATAGACAGAAATAGAAAATGTTATGCCCCTTCTTTCGAGGCTACAGTTATGATGGCAGCTCTGTGAGGCTGTATAGTGATGCTCTGTGCTAACATCCACATGCTAATAGCTTGCAATGACAATGATAAGAAGCTGATGTTAAGTAGGGAGACTGTTTACCCTGTTCATCTAAATTTAGCATATTAGCATGCTAAGATGTGCTGAGGCCAAACATTTGGTGCTGACCTGTCTAGGATATGTTAAGACATTTCACAGGATAAAATGTGATCTATGTAATCTAATTGTTGTCGAGATAATTCAGTGGATTCAGTCAAAATTGTGGACAAACAAATAAACTGACATTTCCAACCATAAAGCAACGCCACTAGCATTGCTAAAACAATTTTGGTAGATGGCTGTGATTAGATTTGATAAGCAAAAAGGGGGGAATCAAGCATGTTTGGAGACTAGTTGTCATTTAGTCAATTAAATGTTGTACAATGGTATAGACCAAAGAATGGTATATAGACCAAAGAAACATATTAAACGTATTAATTCAACAGAGCGAAGAACATGTTATGGGTTGGTTTAGCCAAACGAAGGATCATTCTTCTTTAAATAAAAAAATCAGGGTTTTCTTGGTCCTCCATCTCTGAAGAGCAACATCCAAAGCCAGTTTATCGGTTTGCCTGTCTGTCCTCATGATGTATAACCTTCACTTTTTCCACTTTGTATGAAGTGTGATGGCATGAAAAGCAGAAGTGTGTTTTCAGGCCTTCAAACACTTCTCTCTGACACTCATGCTCATAACCTGTCAGCGACGCATTGCCTCTTCCTCTTTTCTCCCCGTCTCGCGCCATCCTTGTTCTGATGTTTTATGATTCCTAAGCCCGTCTGCTCTCCTCTCAGATATTAGAGTCATGGTGAGACAGCTCTATTGGAGTAGCAACAGCCAAGAATCTACTCTCCTCCGACTCTCATCCTCCCTTCCCCCGTCCCTCGCCTGTATCACCTCCTCCACTCTCATCTAATCTCTTCCTCCCTCTCCACCTCCCAACTGTCACGTAGCATTTCTCCTTTTCCCCATTTCTGTGGACTAAGCGTCTTCTCCTGCTGACTTCCATTAACTAATGTCTGGAGAGAGGGAACACTGTACAATCACTCTGCTTAATATTCATGCTTTAGCCATGACCGGAAGTTTTAACCATGACATCACTTCTTCGGGGGGAGTTTTGTCAAATTAAATATGTTTAAAGTAGGAAATAAATCTAGAGGAGCTTTTAAAGAAAATATTTAATTTGAGTCTGCCTCCTTGATAGTGAGAGAGATAAATGAAATCCCAATACTTTAGCAATGCTCAAGTTGAGTCTACTGAGTTATGGAATTTGTGTGTGTGTATATGTATGTGTATATGTGTGTGTGTGTGTGTGTGTGTGTGTGTGTGTGTGTGTGTGTGTGTGTGTGTGAGTGTGTGAGTGTGAGTGTGTGTGTGTGTGTGTGTGTGTGTTGCTGCANCAGGGACCCAGGTGAACATAATCAGACAATTAGACACACCAGGGAAACTAATGACAAGACAATAACCCAAAGGGAAACGTGACATGGAAAACAGCAAAAACACCCAAACCTACAAAACTATAAACGTGACATAACATGAGAATCGTAAAACGATTCAACATGTTTTTTTCTTTTCAACCAACATACAGTAGACATACATACATATATAAGCACATGTGCTGCTTGTCACTTATGAGACATCTGGTCTTGTAATCAGTTAGCTGTACATCTCTGAGTAACCCCTGCAAACATATAGCAAAAACATACATGTATGCATACTGCATATGTATGCAAGCAAGAACAAATACACGCACATGAATGCATTAATGACACAGCTGGATGTTAGAGGTCAACCTAACAGAGGAGAGCTTTGAGACACAATCAGTGGATCTGTTTATCTGCGGCACAGTTTTTTTCCCATCGTGGACCCAAAGACTCTTTGCTCAGCAAAGTGGAAATAATATCAGCTAATGAGGGGCTGCTGGTGATGACTCACATCTGTCCAAATGTTAAGTGAACCAACACAGTGTGGGCCCCAGAACGATGTGCAAAACATATGCAGAGCGCTCCCGAACATAATTACAGGGAACTATGGTCAGCTGTGGTGGGATGTATGAACTAAAATGCAGGGTGTATGCTGATTTTTCTTTTGGACGTGTATTGCCATTCTTGTCTTCATTCCCCTCTCCATTGGTGACATTGTACTTAATTCTTGGACATTTTTGCACCATATCTTTTGCTAATATTTGTTTTTCTTCTTCCCCTTAGGAGTTTGAGATCGACCTGGAAGGCTCTCAGACCCTGAGGCTGCTCTGCTACGAGAAGTGTTACAACAAGACCAAGCAGAACAAAGAGGATGGAGAGAGCTCAGACCGCATCATGGGGAAAGGACAGATCCAAGTATGTCATGACGTCAACCCCCCCACACACACACACACCTCAGCCCCACACCCCCGTCCTTTCTGCAGACCCACCATGACTCATTACTGATAGGCTGTTATGTCACCACGGCTGCCACAAAGCATGAAATCCATATTATTGCTCAATGAACAACTTCAACTGAGCATGATGTTCAAAGAATCAGCTGATTAGATGAATAACCCATAATTTAATGGATGGGTGGTGATTGGTTAAAGTGAGAGAAATAACAATGACACAAAGCTCTTTTTGCCATTGATATGTTATCATGCTGCCAGGTTCAGATGTTTAAAATATCACTTACTCATAGACACTGGTTATTAAGTAACAGCAATGCCATCCCGCACATATTGCATCAATACTATAGGCTGCTTTGTCCGTAAAAAAACCACAGACGCTGTCCTCAGCAGACTGGCTGATCGCAGGTTGATAGCACATCTAGATAGCAGGTGATTGTGTTGCCAAGACGACGGCAGCCTGCAAGACAATGCCAAGTGTCACTCAGGAGATCAACAAAGAGAGCGCAAAGATACAGAGAGATCTAGTCATAAACTAGAGTCTCTTCTTTGTTGCACTGCCTCAAAAAACATCTGTGTGTGTGTGTGTGTGTGTGTGTGTGTGTGTGTGTGTGTGTGTGTGTGTGTGTGTGTGTGTGTGTGTGTGTGTGTGTGTGATCATACACTGCTGACACCCACATAAACAGACAAAAGGATATTTTTTGGTGTCTGGAAGATGTGTAATTACTTATTTTGTGTTTTCTGTCGACAATTCGTAGCAACAAAAAGGTATGGCAAAATACAAAACCATTAGCACAGCAGTTCACTTTTTTATGAGACAATTTAAATGTAGTAAGCAGAGAACTAAATATTTACACGTTAGCTTTTTGTCATTATTCTGAGGAGCCTTTGTCCTGAAACTCAAATCGCAGCAGACGTGTTCACTACACTAAACTTGTTTTATACCAAACTGTGAGTTACAGTCTCATGCTCCCCCTAGTGGCTCCTCTGGTAATCCTGTGGCATGATTGCTTTCTGAAAGATGATGTCATTCGAAACCAAATACACAGGGTGGTGAGAAAGTTGCTCAGCAGGATTTTCATAAATCCAGGGCAGGAAAAATACCGCAGTAGAAGAACATCATGTCATAAACACATAGCACATGCATATCCAGGTGATATTAAACTACCATTTACCTGCCCTAAATGCGTTTCTCACACATGTAAAGATAGTAGATTTTGAGTGGTAATTTCCCTTTATTCTGTGTCATCGTCTGTTATTTTTGCTTTTGGTAGCTCATTTGCTATCAAACAACATTTGATTTCATTACTGTATGCAAATCCATCCCACATATACAGAGACATGTTCAGTCCTATATAGTTATAAAGATGAATATTGTCTCGTCATTTAAAATTGAAATCTATTTTGGTCCAAGATGTACGTAGTTACACAAATACAGAAGAAGAGAAGGGGAACATTGTTCTAGTTGTTCACTACTTTAAATGTACTAACAGAAAATACATTTATTATTTAACCCTTGTCCAGCTCTTTTCTTTCTCCAGCATTCAAATTCATCTGAAATTACATTATATATAAACAGTGTGTATATTATACATTCGGGAAATATTTAGAACTTGCACCGATCAGCAACAAGATAACATGAATATGTGTATGCATGTTTCCATTTATATTCACTGTAATAATTGTCTTTTTACATAGCGTTTATAAACTACCTTAACCCACACTTTATGTCAGTGTTTGCATAAATCATCTTTAAAGATATGTCATTTATCAAAATATGTCTTAACACAGCGCAGGGCCTTCTAAATCTTCGATCGATAAAGTCTATAGAAGATACAGTACATTCAGATTTGTGGAGAAAACATTTCAGCTTTTAAAACATTTTATCAGTAGGCAAAGAAATGTTTGCCGTTATTCTGTGTCTGTAAACGGCTCTCACAAAATGGCACATTCAGCAGTGGAAGATTCAGTTATGAGAAACATGATCCAGCCTCGCACGCAACCAGATGGGGCTTAGCCCAGGTAACATACTGTGTGTGTGTGTGTGTGTGTGTGTGTGTGTGTGTGTGTGTGTGTGTGTGTGTGTGTGTGTGTGTGTGTGTGTGTGTGTGTGTGTGTTGGATTTGAGTAAGTACTCAGATATGAAGAGACATGGCATATGGGGTCCATACGAGATTTGTTTATCATATTTATGAAAATATATTGAAGGGAAGATACAACATTCCACTGGAGAGAAGATTTGCACTGCTGTTGAGCCTAATTGAGCAGTACATAAGTAGGGCTACAGTATGTAAGATAAAATAATATTCACAACAAAAGTAAACATGAAAAATGCATGTAGCTGTGGTTCATGAGAAACTAGTGATCCTTGGCCTATAACCCTCTTTGGCTTAATGACTACATTTCAAACACACGCATGAGTTATTCATATATTTTTGGTAAAGCAAAAAGTAAATTCCAACAGATGGGTAGTTATTTATTTAATCATGGGAAAACCAATTGAGATCAAGACTCTCTTTCAAAATGGTACCGTGCATATACATAATTTTAAAAAAGTGCTAAAATGTACATTATTTTGACAACTGATTAACTCCAAATGTTAAACCATTTCACACCAGTTGAGTAAAAAAGGACAAGTTCTTTATATATAATACTATTTATTGTACTTGAACTGAAGGAAGTACATCTCAATATTAAAATCAAGTATTAACTATAGCTTTCAAATAAGTGTAGTAGACTTAAAAAGTGAATGTTGCCTCTAAAATGTAGTAGAAACTGTAAATTGCCCTTAAGTCTATCACTTGATTTAATGTACATACTGTTGGTGTACATTGGTACTTCGAACCACCGCACATGGTAAACCAAACTGATCACCCAGCATGATCTAACAGCCTGGTAATGATTATCTCAAAGAATCAATTGTGTGGATGTGCTGAAATATGACCTAACTTCAAATAAAATATCATTAATGCTTATTTGTATTGTCCTTTTGTGTCGCCTCCTCCAGCTTGACCCTGCATCTCTCCAAGGCAAAGACTGGCAGAGAACAGTTATTCCAATGAACGGGGTGAGTACGCATTGTTATAATTGCTTTCCTGTATTTAAACATCAATTGTTCTCAGGTGTAACTCTAGCTCCAATACATGTATGTTAAAGTAGCACACAGCAGTAAGGACGTGGTTCAGCAGTTAATTTGAGTCTACATCTGGTTTTAACATGGCAGGATTTCCTCAAGATCAGCAAAAGCCGTTGCAGATGGCTCGTAACAACCTGTTTTAACGTTGAGCCCTTTTTTCCTGTGTCAGATCGAGGTTAAACTTTCAATAAAGTTCACCACCCGAGAGTTCAGCCTGCAGAGGATGCCCTCCCGGAAACCAATGGGCGTGTTCGGAGTCAAGATCTCCACCGTGACCAAGTGAGTTCACATTTCAACACGCAGCTCTCTACTGTTTAACTCCAGTTCTACTTCTTCTTGCCTGTTTTTGTTGGGGGCCTGATCAAGTATCGCTTGGCAGAACATAACAGACAATATCTTAACATATGAGATGTGAGAATGAGTAGATTTTTTGCATTTAAAGGCAGTGGCTTTAACGGACAACGAAAAACTGTCTGAAACTAGAGGCCCTGAAACTAAGACAATAAAATGTCCCAATTACACAAATTAAGCTAATTAAGATAATAAATCACAATTTAGCAATCTAGCTGAACTGTGATGTGAGATTGAAGAGCATACAAAAAACACCTATTATACGAAAATACAAAACGATGTATTTCTAAATAATTTATTTGGTCAAATTAAGTTAGGAGGAAAATGAGGCAATGCAAGTTTATTTATAAAGCACTGTTCAACACAAGGCAATTCAAAGTGCTTTACAAAAATGAAAACATTAAAATAGTAGAGGAGAAACACATTTTAAAATGGCATGTAAAAACAGTCATTAAAGAGATTCAAAGAGAATCAAATAAGGATAAAACAAGCTAATATATAAATACATTAATAAAAGTTACAGTGCAGTGTGAGATATGAATAGTTCAATTAAAAGCAGCGGCAAAAAGAAAAGTCTTCAGCCTAGATTTAAAAGTAGTAAGAGTTGCAGCAGACCTGAAAGATTCTGGGAGTTTGTTCCAGATAAATGGAGCTATTAGAAGCCTTAGTGTGTTGCGTGTTTGCGGCCATTGTTGTCCCTGATGGGTGACATAAATTAGGATTAGAGATAATGAGTACGCTAACTAGATTTAGCAGCAAAAACAAATCAGTGTTGCAGAGCCTGAAGCAGTCATTCTAACAATGCAAAACACAGCATTCCGTTTTTAGCCTTCTTCATTTCCTTTTGTTTCGATAAACAAAACATTCGTTGTTTTCTGTTTTCCTGCTGGTAAGAGTTTTACCAATATAAACTGCGTGTTGATCAATAATGTCTTTCTCCATCCAGGCGAGAGCGCTCCAAGGTGCCCTACATCGTCCGGCAGTGTCTAGAGGAGATTGAGAGGAGGGGGATGGAGGAGGTGGGCATCTACCGAGTGTCAGGAGTGGCCACTGACATTCAGGCCTTGAAGACCGCATTTGACACCAGTGAGTATTCCCTTCATCTACATACAGTGTATGCTTTGTTTAAATGATGTAATGAGGTCAAATGTGTACCGTTGTCCCTTGTAAACCAATCAATTAACCATATTTCTGGTCAAATCCAATGTTTTTTCTTTCTTTTTTACAAGTCTTTTTATTTCATTATAGTGTACAGCAATCGATGCCATTTCATTTATATTGTAATATCACAGTACACTCCCCCCTCCCTCCCTCCCTCCACCCGCACATGCCCACACAGGCGAAACCAAAACAAAAAATGCTTATCAATATAACTTAAACAGCCATTAAAATATAAAACGGAAAAGGAAAAAAACAAACAGTTTTTATGCGAAATTAACAAAAGACATAGGACTAAAACTTAACTCAAATCTTCAT